CTCCCAACCAGTGCTACCAAACGCATTGCGCGTAGTCCTGAACGCGCCGCAAATCCGTGCACCCAAGCCGCCGCGCCCGCAATCCAGACAGAAGAGACACCGGCACCGCGCCCTCTCTCCTGCGATGGTAGACGAAGCCGTGGTCGGCGACCGCGGCAGTCACCTTCAGCTCGTCGAAGTACAAACCTTGCCCGCGAAGGGCAGCGGGACACGCCTCCAGCTTTTTCGGGGCGTTCGCGCCCCTGGACCTGTTCCAGCGCAGCGGGGCCAGGCAGTTCTCCTCCTCCTCCTCCTCCTCCTGCTCCTCCTCCTCCTCCTCTTTCCTCCTCCTCCTCCTCCTCCTTCCTCATCCTTTCTCCTCCTCCTCCTCGTCCTCCTCATCCCCCACAATTGCACAATATGAATACTACTCTCCTCTTACCCCTGATGACGTCCAGGAGATGTCCGGCCCCCCTCTGCGTATTGTTTTAAAACACAGGGTTCCCGGGAGTTGGGTTTTACTGTGGGCTTGTTCCTAAAATGTTGCTCCTGCTGAAGCGCTGGCCTCATTTTCGGGCTTCCGCTCGTTCCGAATCGTGCTCCCACTGCAGCGCTGGCCTCATATCCGCGCCTCCGCTCGTTCCGAATCGTGCTCGCGCTGCAACGCTGGCGTCACCATTTCCAGTGCCATGTCACGGCACGGTTTTCGCTCCTACAATGTAGGCCCCAAAATCCAGAAAATGCCCCCCGAAAAAACAACATCGGAAGTGATTACACATTCGGTGCCGGTTCGTTGATTTTTGGGCCGCAGGAGCCACCATGCTATGGCATGCTACGCGTTGATCTTCAACGCCATGCTATGCCATGTAATGCTATACCATGCTGCGACATCCGACTGTGTGCATAGAGAAGAAATCTACGCCATGGAGAGGTATGGGAGGGAGGAGTAAGACGTCATATGTCACGCGAGCGCACCTAGCTTGTCCCCCTCCCCCTCCTCCACACCCTTCTCCTCCTCCGTTCTCCTTCCTCAGTGCTCCTTCCTCCCTCCTCCTTCCTCCTCCCTCCTCCCTCCTTCCTTGTTCCTCCTTCCTTCTCCCTCCCCTTCCTTCCTCCTTCCTCCTCCTCCTTCCTCCTTCCTCCTTCCTCCGTCCTCCCTCCTCCTTACTCCCTCCGCCCTCCTCCTTCCTCCTTCCTCCTTCCTCCGTCCTCCTTCCTCCTTCCTCCGTCCTCCTCCCTCCTTCCTCCGTCCTCCTCCTTTCTCCTCCTCCTCCTCCTCATCCACCCCCTCCTCCTCCTCTTCCTCCTCATCCTCCTTCCTCCGTCCTCCTTCCTCCTTCCTCATTCCCCTTCCCTCCTCCCTCCTTCCCTCCTTCCTCCCTCCTCCCCTCCCCCCTCTTTCCTCCTTCCTCCTTCATCCTTCCTTATCCTTCCTCCAAACTCCCTCCTCCTTCCTCCCTCCTCCCTCCTTCTTTCTCCTCCTTCCTCCTTCCGCTGTCTTCCTTCTTCCTCCTTCTCCTCCTTCTCCTCCTTCCTCCTTCCTCCTCCCTCCTTCCTCCTCCCTCCTTCCTCCTTCCTCCTTCCTCCGTCCTCCTCCTCCTTCCTCATTTATCCTCCCTCCTTCCTCTTTCCTCCTTCCTCCTTTCTGCTCACTCCTTCCTTCCTCCTTCCTCCTCCTCCTCCTCCTCCTTCTTCTTCCTCCTCCCCCCCTTCCACACGCGCGCTGCCATGCGCGCGCAGGCGCGAATGAGAAGAAGGAGGAGGAGGAGGAGGAGGAGGAGGAGGAGGAGGAGGAAGGAAAAGGAGGATGGAGGAGGAGGAGGAGGAGGAGGAGGAGGAGGAGGAGGAGGAGGAGGAGGAGGGGGAGGAGGAGGGGGAGGAGGAGGGGGAGCAGGAGGAGGAAGAGGAGGAAGAAGGAAGAGGAGGAGGATGGAGGAGGAGGAAGGAGGAGGAGCACCAGCAGAAGGCGAGGAGGCTCGACCAGGCGTGGGGCCACCCCTGGGGCCCCTGGACGACAAGTGTCCCAACAAGACCCCTGCGAGGTCGCCCCAAGGATGCCGGATATCCCCGGGGCGGCCGTCTGGGCCCCCAAGAAGCCCCCCAGACGGCCCGTGGCGCCCAAGATGGTCCCAACAGCGCCCGAGACGTCCCAAGAGGCCTCCGATAGCCTTCCCGAGAAGGCTCCGAGAGGCCCAAATCATCGACCCCACCCTCGTTTCTCAATGCTTTGGGGGTTCTCCGCCGAGCCTCCGACGCTCCAGGACGCCCCAGGAGGCCCCCCAAGACCGCCCCAAGACGTCCCCAGAGGCCCCCAAGAGGGGCCCGAAGACGGCCCAAGAGGCGCCCAAGACAGCCCAAGGGACCCCAAGACGGCTCTGAGAGGAGCCCAAGAGGGGGAACACGAACTGACAATCCGAGCCTTCCGCCCCAAGAGGCGCCTAGGAGGCGCCCAAGAGGCTCCCAAGAGGTCTCCACGAGGCACCTAGAGCCTCCCAAGAGGCCCCAACACAATTTTCCAAAGGTCTCAGAACTACCTCCACGAGGCTCCCGTCAGGCTTCGACGAGATTCCGACGAACGAACATCCAAGAGGCCTCAGCATCATATTCCCTGTGACCCACCATCCAAGCACGGTGGCGGGATGGGCTGGAGGGTATTGGAGATGGGCCAGCGGCGTGAGCGAAGCGATCCGCCGCCTCACCGGGACGGCGTGTGAGATCACGACCGCCTGACCTGCAAGGACCGTTTCTCGGGAGTCTTATAACCAACGAGTTGTTCATACCTATCGCTGGCCTCTGATCCTTTCCGAGCCCCTCCTGGGGTCCTCTGGGGACCGCTCCTTCCGCCGGCCCGCAGGCCTTGGACCCGGCCGGGGCGCCCTCTGGCCACCATTTCCGTCCCAAAAACGCGTCCGCTTCAGGTGCAAATTTTCTGGGCGTCGCCAATTTGGATGCCCGAAATGGGTACCGAAAAAATGGGTACAATGCCCAACAGCAAGTGTTGTCCCAAACCAACAGCGGCCGCTGTTGGGCGGGCGGCCTTCTGTCTCAAATGAACACAGACCGCGGCGGCGCGGACAGCGAGTCCTGTTCAACCCGTCTCCGAAACCTCTCAGGGAGCCTCCCAAGCCGGCTGCTTGGAGCCTCCTGGAGCGCTTCCTGGGTTCATGCTGCGCATCATGGCAGCCACTGTGGGCCGTTGTGGACGCCTCCTCGCCTTCAGTCGGGTTTAAAAATACCTGCAAACCCCGATGAGCACAACATTGCAGACGTTTCGGGGTTCTCCTTGCGCCTCTCATGTAGCTCCTGTGCATCTCCCTGGGCACATCTGTCCATCTTAGTATCCGCGGATACTCTCTGCGGCCGTCCTAGCTGCCTCCAAAGCCCTCCCGTCCTAGATCTCTGGGCGCCTTCTGGGCAGCTTTTTCGGCCGTCCGGGGCGCTCCCCGAGAGCCCCCAAGAGCCTCTCCAGGAGCCACAAACGAAGTCGCGATGTTGTTCGTTCTCCTCCCATTCCCCTCCTTTACACCACTCCGACGCACGCGACCCTTCCTGTGCACGTTTTGGATCCCTCTGGAGGCCCCTGGCGCCCTTCTGGGCCGAACCCGACGACTGTGGGATGTTTTCCGGCCTCTCTGCGGCCGTCCTGGCGGCTTACCAGGGCCCTTCTCGACTTCCAGGAGCAGGTCTTCGGGAACTGCTCGCGCCCTCGTGGGCCGTCTTCGCCTCCCTCTGTGGCCCAGTTAGGGCGCCCGAATTATCCGGGGTAACTCGGGTCCGGGGTAACTCGGGTTCGGATTCCCGAAAAACGAACCCGAGTTAACCCTGACCCGAGTTACCCCTGATGATTCGGGGCTCTGACCAGTGCTGCTCAGGTGGCCCACTTATTCCTGTAGCGGCCCTCGCCAAGTCCGGTCTCGGGACTCGCGCCTCCCCACATCTGCACCGCAGCGACCGCGCTCCAGAAGCAGCGGGGCGGCGGTGGCTGCCCCGTCGGGGGGCGTTCAAGGAATAAACACGGGTTCGCCCACGCACCTCACATGGGTCGGCTGAATAACCCGAGCCTGTAGTAGTCCCACTGCTGTCCCCCCAAAATAGCTCTTGCAGTTCATCTTACTTGCTACCAGGGAACGAGGCCTGTCTGTCGGCTTGGCGGAAATTCAGCCGCCGTCGCCGCCCCGTCGCCGCGTCGTCGCCGCCCGTCGTCCGGGCTTGCCTGTCGGTCTGGCGGCCTTGTCGCCATCGTCGCCACCCCGTCGCCGCCTCGTCGCCGCCTGTCGTCTGGGCCTGTCTGCTGGTTTGGCGGCCTTGTTGCTGCCGTCGCCGCCTCGTCACCGCCAGTTGTCTGGGCCTGTCTGTCAGTCACCGCGCTTGTTGCCGCCGTCGCCGCCCCGTCGCCGCCCCACATAGATTGCACGCCATAAACTGCGTAGCACAATTTTGACAAACTAGATCGCACATATAAGCTGCGATATACATGGATCGCACAACATTGGCTTGCACCACATTGTTTCCACAACATAAATTGCACAACATAGATTGCACAACATGTGTTACCATGTATTGCACAACGTGGATTGCACCACATGTATTGCACTATTTTTCTTGCTGCGCCGAAGATTGAGCAGCTTGTCTGGAACCTCATCAATCGAACTGCATCAACTGCACACCGTAGATTGCACAGCGTGGACTGCACCACATATCTTGCCCTGCCTAACTTGCACAACATGGGTTGCCGAAGATACGTTGCACAACACATCCTGCACAACACCGATTGCTTTACACAGTCTGCACTACACAGATCGCACCGCGTGGATTGCACAACATGGATTGCACACCAGAAGGTGCACAACATATATTGCACCGCATAAGTTGCGCCACATAGACTGCAAGACACACACATTCGATGTACTGTAGACCATAGATCCCACCACCTTTACTGCACAACATAGATTGCACAACACTGGTTGCACAACATGCATTGCACCACATACATTGCTCCGCATAGATCGCACAACACATGTTTCTAGAAACACACTGTCTTGTGCCCATGCCGGCTAACATGTCTATTCGAGGGGACAGCGCGCGTGCCCAGCTGTCATGCCTGAGGCGCGATTCCGAAACATAATGCCGACGGAGAATGGGCGACCCCGTGGTTCTCGTCCGCTTGAACGGAGATCCCACGGGGAGGGCCCACAAAATGGATCCCACGGGGGAAAGCAGTCGAGTCCGGGAAAGGAGGGAGGGAAGGATGTTGATGATGGTGATGATGCTGATGGTGATTATGATGATGATGTTGGTGATGATGGTGACGATGATGATGATGATGATAATGATGATGATGATGATGATGGTGATGATGATGATGGTGATGATGATGACGAGGAGGAGGAGGGGGAGGCGGAGGAGGAGGAGGAGCAGCAGGAAGGGGAACACCACTGCGAGCAAGGACACACCTTGCACAGAGCAGCAAATTGCTGAGTCTACTTATGAAATGCGGCGGAACGTAGAGACAAGCAAGGTCTGCGGCGCTGACGGCCAGAGCCTCAAGGCCTGCTGAGTGCTATGCGCGCATCGCTGTACTATGGTTGCCCTGTGCGCAGTCTGGCAGAAGGCACCGCGCGGTCTGGCAGAAGGACCCGACAAATGCGCGAGTTGGTCGGCGAAGGAGGACCGCCAGTACACTGACTTACATTTTTGTTGGTCGGCGGAGGCGGAGGATGAGGAGGAGGAGGAGAAGGAGGAGGAGGAAGCGGAGGAGCAAACGAAAGACCACGAGAGGTGGAGGTGGCGCAGGTGGACACAAGCAGCCGCGGGCCTTCACCACTGAGACGAGGCAAGCAGCGGGCGCGACTTCTCGGAGGCCACGGCACGAGAGAAGCATCGCCCCAGCATTTTCTAATTGGCTAGCTACCTGCCTGGTGACAGCGGGGCAGAAGCGCACCCGCGGCCCGTAGACTGCTGAGAAAGAAGTCTGGCTATGCCAGGCAGGCCCACTGCGTGGACAGCCAAGCCGCCTTCCTGCGACCGTCCTGATGTTAAACAGTTGGCCTGAAAAGCACCACAGGGTGTTGAGCAGCTGGCTGAGCGCAGGGGGGCGGAGAGCGAGGGGGAGTATGAGGGAGAGGGGAGACCGGAGAAACAGGCTCACGAGGGGGAATAAGCAGAGTTGGAATATAAATCACATGTGGCAGCGATTGGGCAACATCTGCACGTGCTACAGCACTGAAGCGAGCTTGCCATCCGCGATGGCCTGCATGATCACGAGGAACTCGTTGAAGTCAAACTGGGCCTTCTCGTCCTCCCCGGCTCTCTCGGGCATCGCCTGCTGGAGGAACGCCATCAGCGCGTTGCCCCAGCCCCTCCCCGGCGGAACGCCCTCGGAGCGCTGCCTCTGGTGGCGCCCCAGCACCAGCAGCTTCAGCTCGCTCCACGATAGCAGTCGCCTGGCGCCCTTGGCGACGTCGGGCGACCCTGGCGTGGAGAGGAACACCGCGCGCAGCTCGGCCACCTCCGCCAGGGTGAACGACGTCTGCCGGATCGTGTGGGACTCCTTCAGGAGCACGTCCCTCTCACGCATCTCTACGTACAGCAGGCTGAGTCGCCGGAATCCGGCGAAGTCCAGGCCGTTCCCATCGGGGGATACCTGGGCCATCAGCTCCAGCAGCCTCGGCCGGAACGAGGCATCGTTGGCCTCAGGGAATCTTCTCTGCAGCATCTTCATCAGAGACTGGTTCCTGACAATCCCCGTCCCGTCGCGGTCGTGATGGTTGAAGCTGTCCTCGGCGGCGAGCGCGGCAGGGAAGTGAGAAGGGGCGGGCTTTCTCAGAAGGCTCGGAAGCCTCCTGGCATTCTGAGAATTTTGTATGCCTTCCCCGAAGCGCACAGCAAAAGGTCTCAGAAGGCTGGAGGGCTTCTGAGAAGCCTTGAGATCCGACGTTGCGAAAAAATGCAACATCGTAAAAAATCACAACTAGAGCTCTGGACCCTATCTTTCTGCGTCATTTTCGGGGGCGGCCAAGAGGGGTTGTCCAAGAGGGGGGGGGCGCAAGTCATGGCCAACGGCATGTGCGCGGCCCCGGGAGGGGGGGCCGGGAACGTTTTGAAACAAGAAGCGGCGCCATGAGATCTGGAGAGACACCATGGCCCCGGCCATGATATCCCCCCCTCCACCCTATAGTCATCACCCCCCTCCTGGCCGCCCCCGAATCTTTCGAGCCGCGCCGATCTGTCATGGTCCGAGGCCCCGAGAAGAGCTGAGAACGCCCGGCTCGAACAAGCTGGGACGCCAGGATCTCAGGGCCTGGGAGCCTGGGGAGCCGGCCCCTGCCGTGCCCGCCGCCCCTGGGTGCACCCGTGGCGCCTGTGTGCGCACCCGGGGAGCTCCCGGGGAGCGCGCGGGGAGCCTTGACTGGGAGGCACCTGTGAGCACCCGGGGAGCGCCGGTGGGCACCCGCTGGGAGCCCCGGTGAACCCTCGGCGGAAGCTCGGCGGAAGCTACGTCGTAGCTTCCGCCGAGCTTCCGCCGAGGGTTGGGAAAGGGGGGGTTACGAAATTTGCTACATGCAGCTGGTTTCGGCCTCACCGAGGGGTCCATTCCTCGATACATGGGCGCCTCCCGGCGCCGGGAGGCGCCGGGAAAATCAGCTACGTGAGCTGATTCTCAACCCCCCCCTTTGCTATCCCCACGACGGAAGCTCGGCGGAAGGATCGCTCGCCGCCGGTGTCCAGCAGAGCTCTGAGCTCGTCGCTGCTGAAGCTCCCGTTGGCCTGAACCCTGCGCCTGTCCGCCTCGGCGAGGCGGGCGTACGTGCGGAAGAACCCCTCCTCGGTCAGCCGCCGCTCCTCGAGCAGGGCATCGGCTACAGAACTGATTTACCAAACATTGATTTGTTCTAGAGGGCAGAAAATCCAACCCGATAATAACCACCACGAAACGCGAGGCCGTTTATTCAACGCACCCACAGAAAACATCAAACAGGGCAGGGCTGTTTAGTAAACGCCCAGGGCCGTTTAGTAAACGCCATTTGTCGGGTCCGGGTGGTTTCCCCCCCCTTGATTTGTTCGGCGAATCTACGAACATGCGAATTGTAATCTGTACCTATCTACGAACATTCTACGTACTTCTCTCGGCCATTCGACGCGAGAACCGTTTTTGGGGGTAGATCTATGATGTAGTCGATCCCCTACCCGAGCTCCCTGGGGCTGGGCGCCAGGTCGTCTGGCGAGAGGCATCCCGCGGCGGCGCCGCCGTCGAAGGCGTCGAGGCCCATGATGTCCAGCACCTCCAGCGCCACCTCCTCGGAAATCACGGCGCGGCCACTCGGATCGTCCTCTCGGGGGCGACGATTGGGGCGAGTACCCTAGGGGCGAGCGTTACACGCATTCGCCTGGGAGCCTCGCCGAAGGCAAGTACCACCGGCGCCCCTGGATGCACGTATTGTTCCCCCCTGGGCTATTCGCCGCTATCGTTTGATCAGGGACCGACCGTCCTGGCATTCCTATAGTCCTACCACGAAATGTTCTTGGAACCCCAAAATGTCCCAATAATAAAAACAATGTTCTTAGAACATACAACCCGATGTGTTAAACAATATCATCTAAAACAGAAGTGATCGAAGAACATTTCGTGGAAACCACAAAAGGTTCTTAGAACATTGTTTGGTAGGGCTATAGGCGAGCCAGGACGCTTCGCCACTGCTTGTGCTGTCGTCGCCTCCGATCCTCTTTGTGCAGGTCGAAAAGCTCCTGGGCTCTGGCCAGCCCGTGCTCGCAAGCCCGGCGCACGATGCGGATGGCGCTCTCGAGGTCGATCCTGCTCGTGCAACCCACGTTTATTCGCTCCGTGATGTGCCGCTGCACGTGGAGGGGCAGCGCGAAGCCGAGCTGCCGCAGGAGCAGGGGCACCTGCATTTGGTCGATGTCAGCCTCGTGCTCAGACTTGCACGCGTCGAAGGCCGCCTGGATCTCGGCCTTCACGGCCGCCGAGAAGCCGTGCCTGTTGCGGTACTGAGCCACCACCTGCCACACCTGTCCCATGTCCAATCCGCTGTTCACGTCGCCGCTGCAGCAGTCCTGGGCGCACTCGAAGACGGCCTGCCTGTCCGGGGCCGTGTACCCGAGCACCCTGAGCACCCGCGTCAGATGATCGTGATGGATGCGATCTGCTGAGCCAGGGATGGCGTTCTCGCGGATCACCCGGGAAATCTTCTCCACCTCCAAACTGCGCATCCTCCGCATGCAGATGATGAGCTCGCGCTGGTTCAGGGTCCCTGATTTAGTGGTGTCCGCCGCCTCGTAGACCTCCAGAACTTCTCTCTTCAACGAGGGCCGCTTGAAGTCGTAATCGTTGGACCAACTGAAGCCGAGCCACGAGAGCATGCAAGCAAACCCGCTGGCATCAATGCTGTCTGATCCGTCGACATCGAAGAGCTCGAACACGCGCATGAAGTCAGCCGACCCCTTGTGGGTCTGTATATAGGCGTGTGAGATCCGCCCCCCAATCATAGAGCCCTCCTGGATTGGGTCCGCGCAGATGGGGTCGGAGGGTCGCGCCGCATCGCCGATGCATAGGCGATGCGATGCCAAGCGATTGTCCGACCCCATCTGCTCCGAACCCATCCACGCGGCCTAGACCATCATCCCCATCCCCCCCCCCAGGAGCTCCAAACCGGAAAGTACTCCCCCCCCCTTTCTCCCTCCCCCTCTGGCCGTGGACGACCCCCGTGGGAACTTACCCAGGAGGGGCTCGGCCCTCCCTGGGCTCCCCCTGTGGCCCCTAAGACGGCCCCGAAAGCCCCGAGGCGGCCCCGGAGAGCCCAAACAGACAACCAGCATGCCCCATCGGAGCGTCGACTCGCCCCACGAAGCCCCCACGGCTCAAGAGTGCTCCTAGAGGACAGCCGAAAAGGGCACCCGAAGGCGGAAATCGTTCCAACCACTTCGGAGATGATAGGGCCTGTTTTCAGCCACCAACACCATGAGTTGGAGGGGGAGGGGGTCCTCCTCCTCCTCCTCCTTTTCTCCTCCTCCTCCTCTTTCCTCCCTCCAACTTATGGTGGTGATGGTGGTGGTGGTGGTGGTGGAAAACAGGCCCATCAGGAGACGTACGTTCTGACAATACTCGTCCTCTCTGTCTTGACAGCCTCCCAGACGGCCGAAGAGGACCTCACAATCGCCCCAAGAAAACCGAAGACGACCCAAAAAGGCCGCGAGACGTCCCAAGAGACATCCAACCTGGACCCAGAGGCCCTGAATCCAGCCCAGGAGAGCCCGGACAATGTCCCAAGAGGGGGAATACGATGCGACATTTCGAGCCTATCCCTTCTAGATGGCCCCAAAGGCTCCCCGCAGGCTCTTGGGCGCCCCCGGAATACCCCAAGAGGCCCCCCCAAGAGGCCCAATAGGCTCCAAGATATCCACAGCACGGCCTCGGCTGCCTTCCAAAAGCCTTCCCAAGGACCCCTGCGAAGCAACCCACGAGACCCTCATACGCATCCAAGAAAATCCTGTCTCACAGCCCACACGCGGTGGCGGGTATAGTAGACGGCCACTCGATGATTCCGCCCCTCCTTTTTTGTTGCTTTACGTTTACGTCTGGCCCCCCCTATTCGTCCTCTTCGGCTTCCTTCCCACATTCAGCGTTCGAGTTTGACTCGTTCGACGGCATCCGCACATGCGTCCCCCAGAAGCTCCTCGCAAAACGGTCATCCGCACGACTTGCACTTCAAGGTGCCGCGTTCGGCGGAACGCGCGACATGGGCCCCTCTAGGGTAAACGCCGGCTTCGGGAGCTTCATTTTGCACGCACCACTGCACGAATACGCTTGCCAGCCGCGTGCAGTGATCCCGATGTACTTGCAATCTGCGCGAATCACTCGCACATTGTTCTGGAAGTGGTGTTCTTCTTGTTTGTGGTTGATGTAACCTTCGTTGGCACGCCGTGCACGCCAAATCTCGCGCAGGCCGCTTTGCCGAATCCGCCCCTCCCTTCGCGGTGCCCACCAGCTTGCCACATCTCTTGCACACCACTCTGGCTCCCTCCGCGTTCCGAGGATTCCTCACTTAGCTCGCGGCTCAAGCGACGGGCCTCCTTGACAATCACCCTGCATCCTTTGAGGGGCAACGCCAGGGGGGGACTGGCATAGGGGGGGATGCATCGACCTTGAGTCGGTGATACATCGCCGATAGATCGGCGATAGGGCCCTGATAGTGAGTCCGCACCCTCCTGGGCAAGTTGGGGCTATCGTGCCCCCATCCTTGATCAACGGGCGATTGGGAGTCGATGCATCCCCCCTGTGCCTATCCACCCTACCGTTGCCCGTGCATCCTGGCGCGCAACACCTCCGCGGCTCCCCTTCTGCCTCCACCTGTTCGCCGCCTGCGGCTTGCCCTCCCTCGCGGCTCGCTGGTGCTCGCGAGTGGACCGCTGCCTCTCCCGCTCCGCCGCTCGACCTCCCAAGGAAGAGGTGGCGACCCCCCGGGTGGTGACCACCCTTCTGGGGAACCAGGCCAGAGGCCTCCTGGATGGGGTCGGAGGATCGCGCCGCATCGCCGACACATCGACGATGCATCGGCGATGCACCGGCGATGCACCGGCGATGCATCGCCGACGGCGGCGATGCGTCGGCGACGTCGACGAGAAGCACATCGGGCCCCACATCGAGCCGCCTCGGCGATGCATCGGCGATGCGGCGCGAGCCTCCGACCCCTGTGTCTGCTGCGACCCCATCTAGGAGGCCTGGACTCGAGGAGGAGCCGGCCATGGCAGCGATGGCAGGGCAGCGGTGCTGGTCCAGCTCCCCTCTGCCGATTCTAGCCAAGACCCCGGGTAAGGGGACCCAGTTAGTGGTAGGGCCCTGGGGCCCTTCAATTGGCCAGATTCACTAAACCAAGTTTGCCGTAACTGGTGTTTTCCGGTTGACGGCAGTTCCGGTTAGTGGAAATGGGACGGGGGTGCGCCCCTGGTACAAATCACTAAACCAAGTTTCACCAAACCCAGTTCTGCCAACGCCCGACTCTGGCCCCCAGCACCGCCCGAGGGGGAGGCAGAGCAGAGCGGCCCGAGCGGGGGCGCCCCGCCGGGTGCGCGACGCTCGCGCGAGGCGTGCTCGGGGCGCGCGCCAGGGGGCGCCGCGCGGGGCAGGCGGCCCACACAGCCAGCGCGCGCGAGAGCGGCGCTGCCGAGCCCGCGCGGCCGGGCCCGGGCGATCGGGGCCCGAGGCGCCGCCTGCACATCCTCTTGCTGCCGCTCCTCTCGAAGCTGCTTCGACCCGCCACTGTTCCTCCACTCTCGCTCGGACTCCTCACGCCATCGTGCGAGCAGGTGGAGCGACCGTTGAGGAACGAAGGGGCCTCTCTGGCCCCAGTTGGCCTCGGCCACGACGAGCTTCCCCGACCTGAACCAAGGAGCGCGGCCCGAAGATGAGAGCCCCCCCCTGCATGAGCCTAAAGTGGTCCTTCTGGCAGCGTCTCGACTGCCCTCGCTACGCAAGTTCAGACGCCACTGCACTGCGTCCACAGATGCGTTTCGCGGAGCTCGTCGGACGAGCTCCGCGAGACACATCCCTGGACACAATGCAAAAGCGTAATGGCATCAGAAGCGCAGCCATGGCAGCTATCGGTCAATGTCGCGGCCAAGTTTTCAAGCACAAGTGATCACCGTTCAAGCCAAGCCCCTGATCAGACTCAAGTAACAAGCGCAATGATTACTCGATCGTGGTGCTACCCGCGTTCGCAACACGTAGCGTAACCCCACCGACCCCAGAGGCGTGTGAGAGATCCTTCCTCGTCCAAACTCGACTCTGACTCGCCATCACGTTTTCCAAATCACCCCTCGCGGCATCTTGTCTTGGGCTACCCCACCATGCAACTTTCCGCCCAGAACCTACCTCGGTCCACACCCCGACCCTCACCACGTCTGACACCCCCAGCTCCCCAAACCACATCTCGGGACCTCTGTTCTTGGGACTCCTCACCGTGCAACTTCCCGCACCGAACCCACGTCGACTCTGCAGCTGATCACCACCTGGCCTCCACCTGGCGATGGCATCCTCACCATCTCGAACCTCTGTTGTTGGGCTTCCTCAGCAATTCCCTGCCCAGAACAGACCCCGCCCCTCACCCAGTCACCAAGTGGCCACCACCTGGTCACCACCTGGCCACGACATCCTCGCCAGCTCGAGCCTTTGTTTTTTGGGCCGCCCCAAGCTGCAGTTCCCCGCTCCGAACCCGCTCCAGCCCCCCACCTGGCCACCGCTTGGTCAACATCTGGTCATCACCTGGCCACGGCAACCTCACCATCTCAAACGTGTTCTTGGGCTCCGCCAAGCTGCATTTCCCCTCTCGGAACCCGCCCCGACCTCCCACCTGGCAACCACCTGGCCACCACGTGGCCACCACCTGACCACGGCATCCTGACACTCGGGGCCCTGTGTTCCTGGGCCCTCCCCGCCTGCAGTTCTCAGCCTGGCACCGACCCCGTCCGCGCTCCTGGTCGCCACGTGGCCACCACTTGGTCTCCCCCTGGCCATCTGCCCACGGCATCCTGACCATCTGGAACCTCTGCCCTTGGGCCCTCTCAACCTGCAGCTCCCCGCTCGCAACCGACCCCGACCCCAACCTGGTCACCAAATGGACGTCACCTGGTCACCACCTGGCTATACAACATCCGGGCACCTCTGTTCTTGGGCCCCGCCCACACAACTGCTCCCCCGGAACTCACGACGACTCCCGCTTGGTCACAACCTGGCCACCTCCTGGCCGCGGCATCCTGACCACCTGGAACTTCTGTTCTTGGGCCGCCCCAACCTCCGATCTTCTGCGCGGAACCGACTCCGACCGCCCACCTGGTCACCACCTGGCCGCCACCTGGTCAACACCTGGCCACGGCATCTGGATCATCTGGGGCCCCTGTCCCTGGGCTTCCCCAACTTGCAATTCCCCGCCTGCAGCCGACCCTGGCCCCACCTGTCCTCCACCTTGTGGTCAGCACCTGGCCACGGCATCCTCATCATCTGGAACCTTTGCTTTTTGCCCCCCCCCCCCCCCCCCGACTGCAATTCCCCGCTCGGAACCGGCCCCGACCTTCCACCTGGTCACCACCTGGTCACCACCTGGTCACCACCTGGCCACGGCATCCTCACCATCTGGAACATCTCTGCTCCTGGTCCCCACCCCCTTTAATTCATCGCCCTCAACCGACCCCGACCCCCCACCTGGTCGACACCTTGCCACCACCTGGTCACCACGTGGCCACGGCATCCGAATCATCTCGCACCTCTGTTCTGGGCCCCCCCTCAGCTGGCAACTCCCAGCCCAGATACGACCCCCGCCCTGGTCACCACCTGGCCACCACCTGGTCACCACCTGGCTACAATCACCATCTGCGGACCTCTCACATGGCTGGAACCTGGCCACCACCTGGCCCCCCCCTGACCACAGCATCCTGACCATCTGGAACATCTGTTCCTAAGCAACCCCAACCTCCAATTTCCCGCCCAGAACCGATCCCGACCGCAACCTGGTCACCACTTGGCCACCACCTGGTCACCACCTGGCCACGGCATCCTCGCCAGATCGAACCTCTGGTTTTGTGCCTCCCCAGCGGGCCATTCCCCGCTGGAGACTGTAACCGACCTTCCACCTGGTAACCACCTGGTCACCACATTGCCACGGCATCTGGGTCATGTGGAACCTCTGTTCTTGGGCCCCCCGACCTGCAATTCCCCGCCGAGAACCGACCCCGACCGCCCACCTGGCCACCACCTGGCCACCACCCGGCCACCACCTGGTCACCACCTGGCCACAGCATCCTGACCATCTGGAACCTCTGTTCTTGCCCCCCCCCCCCTCTCCCCCCCAGCTGGCAATTTCCTGCCCTGACCGGAACCGACCCAGACCCCCCAACTGGTCACCACCAGCCTCCCACCTGGTCACCACCTGATCTTGACCATCTGGAACCTCTGCTCTGCCCCCCCCCATTCTGCAGCTCCCTGCTCGAAGCCGACCCCGACCTCCCACCTGGCCACCACCTGGCCACCAACCTGGTCACGACCTGGCAACGGCATCCCGATCATCTGGAAAATAAGTTGAGGAGGAGGAGGAGGAGGAGGAGGAGGAGGAGGAGGAGGAGGAGGAGGAGGAGGACGAGGCGGAGGTATGGAGGCGGAGGCGGAGGAGAGGAGGAGGATGAGGAGGAGGAGGAGGAGGGAGGGGGGGGGGGAGGGGGAGGAGGAGGAGGAGGAGGAGGAGGAGGAGGAGGAGGCTTGGGCCCTCCCAGTCTACAGCTCCTCGCCCAAACCCGCCCCCGACCGCCCACCTGGTCACCACCCGGTCGCCACCTAGCCAAGGCATCCTCACAATCTCGAACCTCTGTTCATGGGCCCCCTCAACCTTCACTTGCCCGCCCGCTTCCGACCCCGATCTTCACCTGGTCACCACCTGGCCACGGCACCCTCATCATCTGGAACCTCTGTTCTTGGAAGGGTCCTCGTCAACCTGCAATTCCCCGCCCGGAGCAGAACCCAACCCCGGACGAGGCCGCCTCCTCGTCAAAACCTGGGCACCACCACCTGGCCACGGCATCCTGACCATCTGGAACTTCTGGCCCCCCCCGAGCTGCAACTCCCCGCCCGGAACCGACCCCGACCCCAAACCTGGTCCCCACCTGGCCACCACATGGCTACAACATCCTGAACATCCTGACGGCAGACTACAATCACTCTATCCCGACTCGCATATCAACCCTGATCGGCGTCGCAATCACCAGCGCCATATCAAGCATAGTCCTACGCAAACGAATGGCCTTGGTCGTAAACTAGACCACGATCACACCACAATATCTGGTTCGACCGCAAGTGGAACAGTAACCGTCTGCGGGCGATAATAAACGCCCTGGGGTAATAAAGTTCGCGGTTCCCGCGGGGATAATAAAGGATTTTCCCGGGGAAGGTAAGTTATGATGATAATGATGATGATGATGCTGCTGCTGCTGATGATGATGATGATGAAGGTGACGACGATGATGGAGGGGGAGGAGGCGGAGGAGGATAAACCAGGCGCACGACAAAAGCCTGACTCGAGCGGTCTCCAGGCTCGTGGCTACTTGCCCGCAGAGGCGCAGGACACAAGGCCCGTTGATGTTGCTGCTAATAAACATGATATGATAGCAACTTTGATCCCCACAACTTTTCCGTGGATTATTAAGTTCGGCCTCCGCGCCTTTTCCACATATAAATCCCTGTGGTCGGGGATTCAAGCAATAGAGGGGGTTAAGGGGGGGGGGTACTTTATTATCGCCCGCACTCGGTTAAACATACCAGCATGGAATCACCAAGCACCATGACAGTCCCACCAGCCCTCTGGGCGTAGGTGCTCTAACGAGTTCTTTGTTTCCTCTTCAAAAATCCTCTTCCCTTCGGGGAAGGGTGCCTTCCCCCTACCCTCCCTGAGGCTTTTGGGGTGGTTTCGCGAGCGGTCAGGGCGCCCAAGATGGCTTCAAGAGGGCCTCCGATGCTCCAAGATGGCTGAACATGCTTCAAGAGAGCTTCCGACATAGCTCCAAGAGGCCCGACGAGGGCCACAAAACGCTTCCAAGTGCTCCTGTAGCCCTCTTCAGGACCCCCTAAAGAGGCCAACATCCTTCAGGCACCGTAAGGAATGCAATGATTGTTGCCTTCTCGCCTTTTCGTTTCCGATGCGATGCTGAGGCCTTGCCCCAAGATGGCCCAAGGGAGCCCCAAGAGGGGCCAACGAGGTCCCCCAGACGGCCCCAGGAGCCCCCAAGATCGGCCCAAGAGCGCCCCAAGAGCGCCCGCTTCGTCTCGAGAGATGTGTCTCCTCCCCCCTTTTCCCATAGGCGATCGTTGGCAAGGCTTCTGAACGCGCTGGTGGGGATACGCGAAGCGTGAAAGCGTGAAACATTATCCGGGAGCGTCTTGGGTCATCCTAGGCCGTCTCGGCGGCAAGTGGGCGCCCTCCAGAACCATCTTGGAAGCCTCTTTGGGCCGATATTAGAGGCCTCCTAGATGGGGTCGGAGTAGATGTGGCCGGAGGAGCGCACTGCATCGCTGATACATCGGCGATGCATCGGCGATGCATCGGCGATGCGCCGGCGATGCATCGACGACGTCAGCGTTGCATCGGCGACGGTGGTGCGGGGAAACGCGGGCTCCATATCGAGCCACATCGTCGATGCATCGGCGATGCGGCGCGATCCTCCGACCCCATCTCCTCGGACCCCATCTAGGAGGCCTACGGCAGGTTCGTGCCGTGTCGACCTGGGCGTTGGTTCCTGACACCGCGCTGGATCGTTCAACCTTGAACGATCGGCCATTTCCGCAACGTCCAATCGTTCAACATCGACCGATTCTGGGCCGCCCGCGGCGTTCAACCTTGAACGCCCGCGCTGGGGTCGCCGCTGGTCGACACGACGCAAACCTACCGTAGAGATATGGCCCGTCCCCCAAGCATGTCCCGGACCCCGGGGCGAAACTGGATCACAGGGGCAGGCACTTGGAAAAACGTGAGCCGCCCCTGAGCCTGGGGACCTGGTCGCCAGTTGTATCATATACTGAAGGGGAACTGGAACACACAGATAAGTACACACAGATAAAAAGATTCCCCATATTTCCCAATATTTTCTGGGTTTTTGTCTTCCCCCCCAATTCCCATGTTTTCCCATATTTTCCTGGGAATCGAGGATTAATTGTGTCTGTGTGTTTTTTCCCTCCTGATATACGAGTGGCCGACGCAGGAAGGTTGGGACACAACTATTATGCGATGTACGTACGGCAGGTTCGCGTCGTGTCGACCCCGGCGTTGGTTTCTGACACCGCGGGGATCGTTCAACCTTGAACGATCGGCCGCTGCCGCAACGTCCGATCGTTCAACATCGATCGATTCTGGGTCGCCGGCGGCGTTCAACCTTGAACGCCCGCGCTGGGGTCGCCGCTGGTCGACACGACGCAAACCTACCGTATGTTGATCTCAGGTATGATGCATCATTACATAAACGGCGCCCTCCGCTGGATACGTCCTCCCACTTTTTGCCATCTTCGGACCGCCTTACCTTCCGAGGCCGAAGCGATCCCCCTTACGATGTACGATCCTACGCAAGAGATATGATTCGGTGTGCTTCGGTGAAGACGCCCCCAAGACGGTCTTCGAGGCCCCCAAGACGGCCCAAGGGAACTCCCAGAGAGCCCCAAAACGGCCGCGAGAGGCCCACAAGATGGCCTCTGGAGGGGCCAAACCGCGCAAGAGCGCCTCAAGACGGCCAAAGACGGCCACAAGAGGCCCCAAGAGGCCCCAAAGCAGCTCCCAAGAACCCACAAGAGGCTCCCAAGGGGCCTCCAAGAGGCCCCGAAGAGGCTCCCGCCAAGCCCCGCAACGACTGAATTGCACGTGCTCCAGACGTGCACCCCGCGAAGCGAGAGGAATCTTCGATCTCCTCCCTGGAGAAGCCCTCCCTCAGCTTATACAGCTCCATCATCTTCATGAAACCCTTGAGGTCGATGGACCGCTCGCCGTTGCACACCTCCGCGAAGAGCTCGCGTAAGATGTGCGCCATGACGTCGATGTTGATGCAATCGAAGATGTGCGGCAACTCTGGCAGCTCAAGGCGCCTGGCCTTGTCTTTGTCGCAGCCGTAGAAGACAGCGGCGTAGTGCTCTGCCTGCTTGCGGGAGTAGGCCTCGATGAACTGAAAGAACTCCTGCTGGCCAAGGGTGGAGTAGTGCGTGATCTGCAGAGCGATCTCCTCTATCCACTCTGAGACTGGATAGCTGAAGCCCGCCAGATCTAGCGCTCGACTCAAGTTGTCTTTGTGCACCTCTCCGACGTCTCGGTCCTTCAGCTTCCAGTAGATCTCCTCCCAGAGCACCTCCTCTGGCTCCGTCTGCCATGTGAACACCGACTTCTGTCGCCGCACGCCCTCTGTCCCCGCAGCGCCAGCGGCCGAGGCGCCGAGCGCGAGCTCCGAGCCCAGCCGCTGCGGCACGAGCCGCCGTGGCGGCTCTGGCCGCCGTGGCGGCCACTGCGCGTCCTGCCCCATGGGGCCCGGGTCGCGGTCCGTGAAGCCCCTGATCAGGGTGGCGATCGACCTGCGGTCCGACCGCCCCCGCTGCCCTGGCGGGCTCGCCCCCTGCTCCGCCTCGGACTCGCTGTCCGGCCCGGCCCCGCGGTCGCACGAGACGCCCGTGGAGCTGGATGGCGACTCCCTGTCGGCCACGGCGCGTGTCGACCACGGCGCCTCGGGGTCCGCGTCGCTCTCGAAGCCAACGCTGGGCCTCCGCGGCGCGAGCGGCGCCAGCTCGGCGCTCTTTCGAGGGGTCGCCACAAGGAGGGGCATCTCGGCAGATCTCCGGCTGTGCCGCGGGGGGGGCGCCGCGGGGGGCGGTGGCGCGGGGGGCGGCGGCGCGGGGGCCGGCGCAGAGGGCGCCACGGAGGGCGAGGTGGTTTCGCTGGGGCCGCGCTCCGTCGAGGGGTCCTCGTCGGGCTCGTGCGCCTCGACGTTGCCGTCTGGGCTGAGGGAGACGAAGCTGACCGACGGCTGGCTGGGGGTGCTGTTCTCCTCCTGGAGCTCCAAGGGCGCCAGCTTGGCGGCGTGCGGGCGCCTCAACCTCATGAGCGGACCGTCGAGGGAGCCACACTCGCTGGGGTACCCCCCGGGGCCCTTGGACGTCCGCGCACGGGGCGCGACTGGATCGGTGCGGACGCGGTGGACCCTGCGCTGGTAGACCTTCGCCGCGCAGTCGCTCTTGGGCACCTGGCCGTACCTAGACCGCACGAGCCTAGCCGACTGCACTAGGCCAGCCGTCGCCGCCTCGCCCCACGGCTGCGCAGGCGCCGCCTGGTCGGCGGCCACTCTGGAGCGCCGCTGGGAGTCGTACGGGAGCCGCGGCGGGGCCGAGCCAGACGACACCTCAGGGGGTGCACCGGGCAAGGTCGCGGCCATCGCGGGCGCCTCCTCTCGGCTACACGCAAGAGTGACCCCGGGTAAAGAGTGACCTTTGGTGCGCGGCTTTTGGGGGGGCCGCGGGGCGGGGACACCCGGGCGCGCACGCCGCTGCTGCCGCTCGGCGATCGGGGGACCGCCTCGGGCCCGCACCACAGGTCACTCCGGCGGAAGGTCACTCCTACGTCTCGCCGCTCCTCGACCTCCGCGGTGCGCGACCTCGAGACGACGCGCCTGGGGCTGCGGCGCTGGGCCGCCGAGCCGAGCGGCTCGCTCGCGGGGGCGCCCGGGAAGACCGCGGCCGCCGCGAGCGCCTCCTCCAGCTCGGCGGTGGTGCGCGGCCGCGCGGCCGGGCGCCTGGGGCTGCGGTTGGCCGGGGCGAGCGGCGGCCGGTGCGAGTCCAGGCCCTGCACCTTGAGGCCGAGCTCGAGCTGAGCGGTGTTTCTGTCGCCACGGGCGAGATGGAGAGCCCTGCACGCCGCCACGCTGGTCCGGGGCAGGCCGTGCTGCTCCGCGGAGGGGGAAGAGAAAGGCTGAGCGGTGTTTGTGTTCGCCGTGGGCGAGGTAGACCCCTACGCGCCGCCACGCTGGTCCGGGGCAGGCCGTGCTGCTCCGCGGAGGGGGAAGAGGAGGGGAGAGGCAGGCGGGCAGCGACGAGCGCGCAGGCGGGAGGCCGTGGCCGGGCGGGAGGCGGAGCTCTGTTCCAGCTCCGTGAGGCTATGTTTCGGCTTCGTTTGGAGCTCTGTTGGGACTTTGCTGCAGCGTAGGTTTGACTTTGTTCAAGCTTCGTTCGGTCTTCATTCTGCCTCTACTGCGAAGCGAAGTCAGAGCGAGAACGGCCGCCACGAGATCGCCAAGACACCGTTTATGAAGGGGCCCAAGGACACAAATAAATACACACAAATAACAGGATCCCCCATATTCTCCAATATTTTCTGGGGAGTCGACGATCAATTGTGTCTGTGTGTTTTCCCTCCTGAGTTTGGTCAGCTCGAGCCCTGCCTTGAAGATTGACCTGGGCGACGCACTGGCCCCGAGCGGCAGCGAGGGCAAGACGACTGGCGCCTGGTAGCCATCCGGCATCACCCCCACCGGCGCCCGGCCGCTCGCAGGGCGGCCTGGCGGCGGGCGGCTCAAGCCAGGCTGGCCCTTGAGCCAGTGCAGTGGTACCAGAGTGAATGGGGCCCTGGGACATGCAAATGAATACACACAAATAAATAGATCTCCCATATTTTCCTATACTTTCCAGGTGCTTGTCTTCCCGCCCCAAATTCCCATATTTCCTCGTATTTTCTTGGGAATCGACGATAAATGGTGTCTGCGTGTTTTTTCCCCCTCCTGACAGAGGTCCGACGCTCCCAAAACAGTGGAGCGGGCGGTTTTGGGGGGGCTGCGCTCGGCCTCCTCCGGCGCCCGCCGCCCGGCCGCGGGACCGTCCAGACACGACTCGCGGGGAGGAAAGCCGGCCGCGTATAGATGAAGGGGCCCCAGGACACACAAATAAATACACACAAATAGAAATACTCTCCATATTTTCCCATATTTTCTGGGTTTCTGTCTTCCCCGCCACTTCCCATATTTTCCAATATTTTCGGGGGAATCGAGGATTAATTGTGTCTGTGTTTTTTTTTTTCCTCTTGAATAGAGAGAGAAGTGGTCCAAGACCTCCGGGGCCCACCCATCCCAAAACATCCGAGCGGCCAGATGCCTGGGGTCGCAGGCAGCGGGCGCTCAGGAGGAGCGCAGGGGGCACACAGGGTAACTGCACGAGGGCAGTCGGAGCACACCAGGTGCAGTAGGCGCGTGCCAGTGCGGTGGGTGGCACGGAGCTGTCCCACGAGTACCGTGGGCACACGCGACGCCACGTGGGCGCGGCAGAGCCAGCGTTGGGGCACAAAGCGGCGAATTTCCACACCGAGGGAACTGGAGATGCCCCCTTCGCGATGCGAATCTCCACAACAAGTCAGCACCATTCCCTACTGCCTTACCTAGCGAAGACACACGAGGAAGTCGACGAGCTGCTGCAAGGCACAGGGAGATATGGAGCCCATCAGCACGTGCAAGGCTGGCAAGACAAAGAGGCACGAGGAACCATGGTTTGATACATGATACCTCGAACGGGTACCTCCCCCCTTCAGCGACGAAAACAAACGGGCCACACGCAGTGCGACGCAGCGGCCTTACGCGGTGGCTTAAGCGGACCGCCAGCGCGGCACGCCACATTGGAAACGAGGGCGCTTACGCGCGACCTTGCGCGGGCGGCTCGCGTACCGGTGTCGGTGAAGACGAGTCCGTTTTCCTTCGTCGCCCACTTCAATGCTGCCACCCGCGCAGCTTGAGCAGGGACCGACCGTCCCGGCACTCCTGTAGGCCTGTCACGACATGTTCTTCGAACTCAAAATGTTCTAAGAACAAAAACCGTGTTCTTAGAACTTTAGCCCGATGCGTTAAAACAAGACGGTCTCAGCCAGAAATGGTCCAAAAACATCTCGTGCAGACCACGAAAGGCTCTTGGAACATTCTTTGGTGGCCCTATAGGCGAGCCGGGACGCTTCGCCACTGCTTGAGCGCGGGACGGGAAAATGACCACAGCCACTGCTTCTTGTTTGTGCCGCCTTCCAGCCGGCCGAAAAAGAAGCAGTGGCTGTGGTCATTTCCCTGGTGCCCAGCTCCACGGAAATGACCACAACCACTGCTCTGTTTCTGCGGGCTGGAAGGCGGCAGCAAAAGAAAAGCAGTGGCTGTGGTCGTTTTCACGCCCCGTATTGAGCAGGAAGTCAACTTCGGGGATGGACAAACCTCC